ATGATATTCACCTTACAGTCTTCTTTTTATACTACAATGATAATGAATCTATAATCACTCTATATCCTGTGTAATTCTTCATAAATAGTACTGACTCTAATACAGGTAAAGAAATTTTCAAAAATTCTTAAAATTTACGTATAAATTATATAAAAATATTTATTACAGGACTTGTTTTTCAATATGGTTCAACATTCAGTTTTGAGTTGTAAAAATGATGGACGAGAGACGAATATTTGTGATCGAGATGCGAATGTTAAGATGAATATGTTGGGCAAGACAAACAATTATTGTTTAGCTATTTATTCTATATTCACAATTTGTCCCATGATGATTCCGGGTAATGTTTATTAAATGGATAATAATGAAAAAGTAACCCCGCTTGTGCTATCGGTATACGCTGGCTGAGCGCCAGGGAGAGATGACATATGAGAATGAAAGCAGGTCAGTTAGCCCATCACGATGATTTAAAAAAGAATTAACCACGATAGTTTCCAGGGGGAATCGTGTATAGCAATATACTCTACCAGGTCGAGCTAGACTTGGTAGGGTATATTGCTAGCAATGGGGCTGTTAGATCCTATTAATAACAATTCCTTTCCCCTCATTCGGGTAATGTTAGAATATTATCTCGCATAAGAATATTAAAATATACGAAATCGCATACAGACAAAACTAAAACTACTGACTTTAGAAAGGAGGGGGTTACGCGATATCTTTGACAGTTATGAATTATTTGAACACTCTTTGGTTTTGGATCAAGATTGGGATTGGTATTTTTTACGGAACGCAATTCTAAATTGTTATTAATGTACGGAACTCTTCCAATCGGACTTGCAAGATTTTGTTATTAGTCACGCTTGTTTTAGATTCATTTAAGCTTTGGATAGTCCATTCAAACTTCATTATATAGTGAAAACGAACGTTGTACATACACTTTATAAGATTATAACGCACATTCACCATTGTCCAAATTCTTTATTGTTTTTATGATTGGTCTCGAATGTTAATCAACAAAGTTTCCATCTAATAATTTATTTTTAATGCAACACATGTTTAAAACATGTTGCGCAATGCTTTGTGAAATGATACGCATTGCAGTCGTTGCTTTGAAATATTTTTCACTTCAGTGATAAGCGACAAATACGATTGTGTAACCGCAAACAAATTAGTAAACTGATCACTTTTGGAAAATAAACATAAACAAGTAGTTCTTGTAATAAGAAGTAGAGAAAAAAAAATAGTGACTCCAATCGCAACCAATTGAATATTGATTAGTAATCTTATTACTCTTATTTAAAATTAATAAAACGCAACAACACACGATTAATATATAGTAGACACAGATTATAAATATTTAAGTTTACTTCACTGTTAAATAGCACATATTGAACCTGCTATTTTACGTTGTAAATTTACACGTTACAAAATTTGAGCCCAACTCGTTATAAACTCTCTATTGCGAAAACAATTATTAAAGTAACATGGCCACAAAATACAGACGAATTGAGAACACTCTCGTGTTCTAATTTATAATTAAAAAGTTAATAATTTTGTCGCAACTTAAGAACATATTGTACTTTTATTTATCTATATTATCCTTAAACTACTCTAGTCACAAAATATAATACATGTATAATCAGCCTAACGTGCAGTTTACTAGTGAGTGGGCTAAACATATCATTTAGATGGAAAAGTTACCAGTTTCCAGGTAATACTCGTAAATTAACCGTTTATGTGCACTAATAGTACAAGTTTTCTATCTCCTCTTAACATCGTGTAATTTGTGTCTTTTGCCTAGGGCCAGTGTTATTGGAATCGTATTTTGTGTGATTATTTAAAATTAAACAAAAATTTAACTGCTTAGAAAGTTAATGAGTAATCATATATTCCGTACTAATATTATAAATGTAAAAGTGAATTTGTTTGTTGTCGGGATTGTGTTGAATTTGTAAAGACACTTGTAATTCTAGTAAATATTCGTAAATATTGCACTTTATGGACATCACACATCATATTTTTTTTTATTGTGACATGCCTATGGTCATTCATCATCATTATATCAGCCTTTAACTGTCCACTGTTAAACATAAGTCTTCATCTTGAGGGGTTTGCCAGTAGTTGCCACGCTTGGCAGGCGGATTGGCAACCGCAGTCAGGCTTTAGAGATGTTTTGTCTCCCTTTGTCGGCTCTTACGACACCTACGGGAAAGTAAGGGGTGGCCTTACTAAGGATTAAAATGTTTTGTTTCTGCGGTAGAAATTACAATGAGTATCTTTTCAAAGTGATTTCAGGTTTTTATTACTTAGGTTGTATAATATTATGACCATGTACGATTTTTATTTAAGTTCTATTCATTAATATAATGTTTTTTCTGCGCCGAATACAGTAGTATATTACGAAACGATAACGGACAATGATAATTTTGTAATACGACCTGATTTACTTGATGTGCACTTGTTTTACATCATTATATTATATCATTAAATATTTATCTGTTTTAGAAAATCGTTATAAAGTTAATTTAAGTTTACTTATAAATTGATAGAATCTGTGTACAATAACAATTGAAATAAAAGTTTCTCCATTATGTATTGAACAAATTATTGTTGTTAGAGAAAGTTGAATTTAGTAAATAAGGTTTCTTTTCACTTTGATCTGTTATCATTTTGTTATCTCGCTTAGGTAATATTTTTTGCACCTGTTCTGTTCGTTGTATTTGGCAAGAAACCTTTCACTGTGCTATTGTTGTAGAATAGTTACTCGATTTGTTTTACTGACTATGATGGAGTAAAAGGGCCCAAAGCCCAAAAGTAAATGATGACCATTTTTTTTTGTCTCCATTTGTTATTGTGTTACATGTCATGTTTATGATAGATTTTCGATAGTGTAGTATTATATAAAAAAGATAATTAGTGAGATTTTTTCAATTTTTTTACGAATGTTGATAAACCCATAAAGTTAAACTAATGTTCATTTACAAGAGTGTGATTGACGCGTTTTTTTTTCCTTTGCTTACAAAACTGTAATTGTCAGTATTTACCTTCCCAGACTCACTGGCGTCTGTTTTATTGATTAATCTGACCTTGTACTTAGCTTATGTAACTTTTCAGCTTTCTTCGCATCTTGTCATGAATCGGTTTATTCCTCTTGCCGATATTTACTATTAAATTTCTATCTATAATGCAACTCTTACATTCTATATTTAAAATTTTGTAGATGGTTTAAAAATATTTATTACTGCTTTCGTTTGCATTTGTCTTGTCTATAATAGTCTTTCAAACATGATTTTAGCATTTTGATGCTATGTCGGTTTCACTTAAATATTTGACCACAGTGACTTGTCAAAAAATATTCACCGTACTTCCTATTCGTTTGTTCTATACTTAAAATGTTTACAATAAATAAGATCGGTACAATTCTCTAAACCTAAAATCTGTTGTAGATAAGTATCTCATTATATTAAATGGGAAGGAATATATATACTAGCAAGATTATTCACACATACATGTTAATGACTTTACAGCGACCAATGTCCGCTATTTTGTTGTGAGCATTAAGTATGTCAGTGTAAGAATCAATGAAGTGTTCTGTCCTTGGAAACAGTCCTGTTTGTGTGTGTAGCGTTAAAGATAACAAAATTGGATGTGTTGAATTAAGATATTTGTGATCCAAATTGTAAAGATACTGCATCCTATATGTAATTAATTACAGTAATTACAAGACTTTTTTTCCTCAAATAGAGAAAACCACTTTAATTTTGACTAAAGTAATATGACCATATTATAATATAAAGACCAACATGTCAGTAAATACTATTACGATTCTAAAAATAATTATTGTAAATGTCAAAATAAGCAATATGCTTAAATATACATTCATTAAACTGCCGTGTTGTATTTTTGGCATAATCGCATCATATAATGAACGATTAGAAATTAAGATTCATATTCTTACTTAATACATACCTTAGAAATGGGAATGTCTTTTAGTGTTAATGGCGTCTCCTTTATTAAACTCTATTACTATGTTATTACACGCTGACATTGCGCTTGTTACTAAATTATTGACTTGCGAAATATATATATATATATATATATATATATATATATATATATATATTTCAATTATATATATATTATATTATATATATCTAGTTTATCTCTTGATCATTTGAAGAAAATAGGGAGTGTGAATATTTTATAACAAACGTTAGTCTCATAATAAGGAGTATATATATATATATATATATATATATATATATATATATATATATATATATATATATATATAGTTTATCTCTTGATCATTTAAGAAAATAGCTTCGCTTTATTGAAATTCACAAAAATATAACTTGTTTATTGTCAAGGGCTTGTCTAGGATAATGTAAGAGACTTAATTTAGGAAGTGTTATTAATCAGTGCAACTTTATAATCCTTAAGTAAAAGTATTGTTCCCAATTCCGTAGTAGTTAACAGTTCACTTATCATGATTCATGGCATCCGTTGCACTATTTATGTGTGTGTGAGTTCGTACGTGGTCAGTATTTGCATCACTGCGCATGTAGTCGTAGGATCCATGGGTAGATGTGGCAGGGGTTGCCATGCCACCCCAGTTAACGCGATTGGAAAACTTTAGGGCGGTGCAATGTTTCGTATAACGAGATTTCTTAATGCTTATTATTTTCTTCTTCTTCTACATTGGTTTTATTTTATTAAGGCTAATTTGGTATAATTTGTGTATTTATCTATAAAAACGTACATTTGTACGTTTATTTTAATATTTATTAATTTCGTTGTGTATAATGTAAATGATTATAAATGTATTACTTGATTTTAATTACATTGATTATAATATCATTTGGATTATTAAAAAAGAGTAGATATTTATGCATTATCGTTATTTATATATTTACCTGTCCGTCACTGTTTGTACTATCGACTCGATAATGCTAATCGAGTGGCGCTTGCCTGCGTGCGCCACACTAGGCCACCCCAGTCGATTCGTTTTAGTACGCATTTGCTTTTAAACGCAAACGGACGTATCGTCAAAGTATTTGTGAACCGGCATTAAAATTAACATATTTGCAATCATTTACGCGTTCAATAAACAGTGAAGACGTCCAGAAATTCTCTAATGTAATTAATGTAAAATTTTGTGATCGTGCATTTGTTGGAAACCTTGGAAGTTATCGTAATAAGATGTTTGCTTCATTTAGAACACAATTAGCTTTCATGACTATTTTTGCTGTTTTATTTTTCCATTCACATGTTACTTTAGTATCATCTTAAATGTGTTTTTGTTCATCAGACAATTGAATTTATATTTTATTACATTACAAATGAGGTATTAGAAATCGATTATTAAATATAACATGTTCTATTGTGAAGACCTACAGTGGGCATGTTATTCAGCATAAATTTACCTTGAAAATTTAGTCTATTAAATTTTAGTAGTAAATTTAGGTCCTATAATTTATTTAATATGAACGTTTACTAAAATCACAATTTGAAACATCATCAGTGAGATAATGTAAAAAAAATTATAATACAAAGCTGTTTTCTCCTTGTCGGTAATTAAAATTCTTGTGAGTGTTTCTATTATGCTCGGACACGATATTTTATCAAAGAAAATGTTGTTATAATCTGTGCCTTTAATTTAAATTGATTTAATTATTTCTGTCCATCAAGTTCAAGCAAATATGTATAGTAGCGATACATGGTGATTTGATATTTAAGACTTCCGATTACTTTCCAAATAGTTAAGTTTTATGTGAAGCCATTTTTAAATGTGTTTAACCGCTTTACATAATTTTACATACTTAATGTTTAAAATCAAATGTAGAAATGCCATTGATGGATGATTTCTTTAATTAATTTACTATTTGCGCACTTAGAAATTAATATTAATATTATAAGTATTTGAATAATGTTTGTAAATAATTCCATTTTGAAAAAGAAATGAACACAATAAAGATAGAAATGTCAAAAGTAAACTTGTAAATGTATTTTAATATTTGTATGGATTCTTAGTTTATTTAAGAAACAATATCAAACTATTTCTTATGAATTATTAGATAATTGATGGTATCAATTAAAAGTATTAGGTATGCGCGGTATAACGAAAGCTTATAATAATACTAAATCCATTACATATAGATTTAGATATACGTATATATATCTAAATCTATTTGTAATGGATTTACATATACATATAGATAATTAGAAATCCATTTCAATTTTGATTGACCTATTTAATCTCCAGTTTTTATAGGCACTTAAAAGATCGGCGACATCATTTTGCATGCAGACAATGATGTCAGTGACCCATTTGCTGTCCACAATCGTTTTATATGTTTTAAATAGATTTGTACTATCAACATCGATTTTGTTGCTATAAATTTAAATATTATATACACTTTCTATTGTAATGTGACTACTTTATTCTTTTTCTTTCTTTTTTTATTCGCTTTTCTTCTGCTTTCACTCTGCATAGTTTCATTATAAGTAAAAGACAATTAAAAATTAGCATACATACCTGTGTTGCAATTTCATATTATAATCTGTTAGAATTATTATCCTTTTCTACTGTTATAAAATGAAAGTATTAAGGAGTTACTATTTTAAATGCTTGTGCTATAAAAATTATGAACGTAATGGAAACTACATACAATAAAATGAAATCAGTTACCGGAAAGGTGCAGAATGTTGCAATTCGCTCGCTAGATGCACTATTATCGCATGATTTCCACCTAGTCATGCGTTATCAAAGTGTTTCCAAATAGTTAGAGCAGGGATTGCCACAAATATAAATTGTGTGTTTTAATGAAAATCATATCATTCTAAATGAGTAGGTATATTATATTTTTTTATCCTTATCCAGTATGTCTTTGTACCCACCACACGTTTGCAAATATATTTATCTTTAAAAAATTTAATTATTTCATTCAAGGTTTTTAAACGATTAATAACATTCATTTTCTCGTAGAGTTTATAGGTATAACATTAAACTTTTACGAAACGTACACAGTGAGTTCTTTCATCTAAATTATGACTACAGAGGAAGATAATTAGAAATTTTGTTTTATGTATACTGTGCGTACTGTAACTATATTAGCGATTTAAATTTACAGTAGTTTTTTTGTTTTGCATTGTTGATTAGGTTTAATTGCTCGAAATCCTTGGATAGAATTTTATTAGACGATTTAGATTTGAAGTTTTAATTTTTATTATCAGTGATTTTGTAAATTTAGTGTCTTTAGCATGTTAATATTTTATCAAAGTTGATATGAAGCAAAATAAACAATGTACCGATATATTAACAGCGTATGATCGAAAGAGATCAACGACACACGGAACGGAAAGACGCGTAGGAGTCCATCTATTTTAGCACATCAGTTTATATTTCCATCTCCTTCTCGCGTTACCAAAACGTATAATGTTATCGCATCTCGTTAAGAAATTGTGCAACAATTGGCAAGATATTTATTTTCTAACACATCTGTCCCGAAATTGCACGTGGCGTGGAAGACCTGAACTGAAATTGTCTAGTTGTGCCTATTCTATTCTTCATTCAGAATGTGTTTGCGTTATACTAAATTTAAATTGATTGTTGTACCTTCATTATCTTTTATTCCAAATATATCTTTGTTTTTGCATTAGGTAAAGTCTATTTTACATCAGTAGAGTCTTGTCCTTCCAAGGTCACTAAGAAATGTACTCATGCGATGCGTGACCAACTCTATTATGTTTTAATTCCGTTTCAGTGGACAGTATTAAACAAGTAGTGTATTTTCCTACGTCTATTATTTAGTAAGTGCAAGTATTGTAATTGTGATACGTAACGTTAAGAATGCCAGTCGTAACGTCCAATTAGTGAAGTGAAATGGATTAATATTTGTTAGTACAACAACTGCTGTATAATGTCGAAGACTTTGAATGCCTATAGAATGTAAGTATATTTTTTATACTCACGAATTTTACCAGGTTTTCAAATATTTTGACAAAACGAATTCAAATGTAATTAATAGTCTAACTACAGCTAGTATTTAGAATTGAGATTGATATATTATTCGATTTGGTATGTTAAATATACCAAAACCAAATATTTAAAATATATATATGTGTATGTTTTCTCTAAAGATGAATAGTAAATATAGTAATTTTTTTTGTTCTATATTATTGCACCAATACTAATAAATAAAATATCTAGAGAAAAATTGAAAGCAATTGGAAATACAAAAGGTGGACGTATCGCTAATGCAATCTCTTCCAGACGACCTTTGGGAATAGATTTGAAAAATAATAGTGAAGCTGTGTGTAATAACGTAAGCATAAATATTTTAACTACTGAGAACTTATCTGTTGAATTTAGTAGACCATTTCGGCAGTGTTCGCAATTAAAGTGTTAATGACGATTGTAGAAGGCCTTATATAAACAGCTGTACACAGGACTAGACTTATTTTTTGCATTACGATTTCAGTAAGCATGTTTTTAAAACATAACTAAAAATATATATATAGCATCATTTCTCTCAAACGTCTTTCGTCCTTCAGCAACAATCGGTTGTCCTTGGCCTTTAGCGGAGCTTTCATCCGGAAAATTATCGGCTCAATGCATCAAATTGAGCTCGTTATAGATATCAGTTACCCGAAGAGATTTTCGGCTACTGATGAGGATCGTTTTACAGAATTACGAAGGTAGATAGATAGTAGAACATGTGTAACAATTTATGAATATTATACCTATTATCTTTAACTGAATGATGAATTTAAGTTTTTATGTCTTTAGCTTGACAAAATGTGACAATGTAGCTGTCAATTTTCAAAAACAATTTAACATTTTTATTGTTTCCGAGTGATTATTTAAAAAGTGCTCTGCTAGTGAACTAGAACGCTATTCATAGAATACATTGCATATAAATTTACTGTTAAAAACTTTTCACGTGTTTAATATTTTGTTTCAAAAATTTTCAAATAGCTTTTGTCATGAAAGTCCAAATTTTTAGTGACAGCTTGATAAAAATATTATTGCATAAACATTTTAGTTCGTTAGTAAAGCACTTTTTATATAATCAATCGGAAACATTGAAAAATATTCTTCTTTCAACTTAAATAGCCACCACCAATTTTGGTTGGTGAGTTTTTTTTTTTTATAATACTTAGAATAGCAAACAAGCTGACGGTCCATCTGATGGAAAGTGGTAACCGTTGCCTATAGACATGAGCAGTATTATGGACATAACAGAGTCTTATCAATGTCATGGCTAGGGAGGCACGGTGAAATAGTCTTATTTTTGTGGTTCTATAATCTGTCCGGTAAGAAAAATGTTCAATTGATTTTGAAAGTTGTCAGATATATGACAAACATTTCGTTATGAACACGATATAATGAAGCGATTTACAAGGAAAGGAATTTCTCAATTCGTTTAAATTTTCCGGCTATGCTTTACGATTACGTCGCCAGTTCTGAACGTATTTTGATAATTATTTTTGCAATCGATAACGTTTACTCGGGAGTAGTGTTGCTCTTATATTATTTTTGTAACGAATGAAGTTGACGTTTTTCTTGACGAAAAAACTGCTTGTTGCGAAGCAGACACACGATTCTGAGTTCTAAAATCAAATAATGTGTGTGTGTGTGTGTCACGATCGAACTTTTTTTTGCGGAGTAAAATGTACTTGTGTTTTGTGTGTCTGAATTATACTGGAGATGTTATACGTGACTCCGGTGTTGGATATTAGATTCGATTACAATCCTGAAACATATCCTATGCATAATAAGTAATTTGTTGTTGTAGGTAAACGATATTCCCATTACCTTAGGTGATTCCTTAAAGGATATTTGTAGCTTATAATTTACATGCACCGGTTTTTAAACTCTGTGAAAAAAAACGTTCAAATTACCGAAAAATAAACCGTCAGCCAGGATGAAACTGGGGTCGTAAAGTTGGCGATATTCTCGTCTGCCGTCCGCTGGATTTTATTGCTGAACCTGTGGTAGGCTATATGTCTAGACGCATCGATTACCTAGCCTTTGTCCTTTGTATGGAAAAAAGTAATTGCATTAGGGTTGCCACATTGTCCTTTTCTCTGTGACTCACGTTACACTACAAGTGAATGTGGTTATTTTTATTGAAGACGGCAAGCAACACTGCGATGTGAAATGGTGACTCAGTGTCTATTAATTGGCGATGCATCAGTACGCCTTTTCAACGACTTTTGTTTTGCTAGAGACAATAATAAAATCAATAGTATCGTGATTCATAATTATTTTATTATTAAACGACATCTTACAAGCGGAGGTTGTCGATTTGTCTGATTTTGATTGTATGATTATATTTATTTTATTAAAATTATAAATTGCTTTTTTTTATCATTGAAGTGTTATAGTTACTTCTATCTGGAGTTCCACAAATAATTACGTTTAAATGCGTGATTATTATATTTATAATTTCTTGTCAATATTCTTAACACCTGTATTAATATTTATTTCGTTTTTGTACAAGAGACGTGGGTGTTTTCTAACTACAATTTATTGGATGTTCAATAATTATAAAGTTATTAAAACTAGGTCATAAATTATTTGATTTTATAATCAAAGTAACGCACAGATAGAAAAATGTATATAGTTGTATATGTAATGTCTAATATAATAACATATATCATAACATATCTTTTTCCCAAGCTCTGAAATAAGTTTTGTTTTGACGTATTATTGTATTTTTTTCATTCTATCTCTGTCATATTGCAGTATCATATGTTAGTCAGTCTGTATTGGCTCATGTCCAAAGAAAAAGGTATTTCATAAGGTTTATTTCTAACAATCTTGAGAGAATCTACCCCTTCTGTCTCCTTTCTATTATTATTATTATTATTTTTAAATTTTACCAAAATTCTCATCTCCCCTCTTAAGGAGAGGAGATGGCAACTAACCCCCGGCAGAAGCACAGTCGGCCGGGGTTCAGGGCCCCAGGGAGAGAAACCGGCGTACAATGCGGGCAGAATCTAAGAGCACCGCTTTCTGCATCTTTCCCGGGAGTGAGCCGCCTCGGAATCCCAACCGTCTGAGATGTTGTTCCAGACTGGTTGGGATAAGACCGTTCACCGACATAACGATTGGGATGATTTCGGTAGATGTCACCCCCCACATTTCGGTCACCTCGTGAGCCAGGTCGAGATATTTTCTCTTCTTCTCGGTTTCGGCTTTCACGAGGTTCTCGTCATGCGGTATGGTGACATCCACCAAAAACACCCTCGAAAGTGCCCGGTCCATCACCACGATATCAGGTTTGTTCGCAAGAACAGTCCTGTCCGTGATGATGGATCGGTCCCAGTAGAGCCTGACGCTGTCGCTTTCGAGGACCGGCTGTGGCTCGTACTTATAGTACGGCAACCTCTCATTCGCGAGGCCGTACTTCAGAGCTAGCTCTTGATGGAGTATTTTGGCTACCTGGTTGTGCCTGTGCAAGTACTCTGTGTTGGCAAGAGCTGAACAACCCGAAAGCACATGTCTGAGTGACTCTCCAGGATGGCGACATGCTCGACAGATGTCCTCAGTGCCATCCTTCAGAATGTGCTTTCGGTAATTGTTCGTCTTAACCACCTGATCCTGTATTGCACAGACAAAACCCTCGGTCTCTCCGAAGAGATCACCGAACTGTAGCCAGTGCACGGAGGTCTTCGTGTTTACGTACGGCCCGTGAAGGGCTTTGAAGAACCTTCCGTGCAACTCCTTCTCTTTCCATACGGCCTCCCGCTGAGAGGTACCCAAAACTTCGGGTTTTCGCCAGTCCTCTTTAGCCAGAGAAAGAGGGGTGAATCCTTTGTCACATTCTATGACCTCTCTATGCAAACCCTCGTCTCTTTTCTCCAGAAAATATGTCCTGAGGCTGTCAATCTCGCAGTTGTGCATGGTCTTAACGCTTAACAAGCCTCGACCACCAGCTTTCCGCGGGATATACAGCCTCATGACTGACGATTTCGGGTGATGCATTCTATGGAGGGTCATAGTTGTGCGGACTTTCCGATCCAGGGCTTCGAGTTCGGTTTGAGACCATCTGAGCACGCCAAAAGTGTAAAGGAGTACGGGTATGACCCAGCCGTTATAAGCTCGGATTTTATTGGCGCCCAACAAAGAACTTTTCAGTACTCTTGTAAGGCGCGCAAAAAATTCCTCGCGGACTGACTGTTTCATATCCGTCTCCTTCACACCGATGTTTTGTGACATGCCCAGATACCGGTATGTTTCAGCCTCGGAGAGGGTTTTAATATTAGAGGGATCTGTGGCGATCCCGTCAGTTTGAGTGACCCGTCCCCTCTGCACATGGAGGACCGCGCACTTGTCTATTCCGAGCGCCATCCTAATAGAGCTGCTATAATCGTTTACGATATTTAGCAGCTCCGTCAGGCGTTCGACGCTCGGAGCTAGCAGTTTCAAGTCATCCATGTACAGAAGGTGAGACACTCGTGTACCTCCTCTCCGATACTGAAATCCAGTCCCCGAATTCTCCAGTAAAGTACTGAGTGGATTCAGGGACAGGCAAAACCAAAGTGGACTCAAACAATCGCCCTGGAATATTCCCCTCTTTATCTCTATCCGGTCAGCGGTATCCGTCAATCGCTCGCCCTGGATAGTCAGGATCGTCGTCCACCGCCCCATGCATGCCTCCAAGAACACTCGAACTGTACCGTCGATCTTGTACAGCTCGAGTATCCTCCGGAGCCATGAATGGGACACGGAATCGAACGCCTTTTTATAATCTATCCAGGCGGCGGAGAAATTCCGACGGTTCCGCTTGACCACGTGGCCAGCGACAGCATCAATGAGGAGCAGCTCCTTCGATCCGCGGCTACCGCCCCTGCATCCGTTCTGAGCGCCAGATAGGATCTTATTCTCGTACACATGACGAGAGATCTTAGCGCTCAGAACGGATGTTAACGTCTTATATA